AAGGTAGTATTAATTGCAGAACGTTGATACTTGGGAGAATATTAAAGCTGAAACCAATACGGAGATTAATTGCGTATTTAAAAAAAAACACCCGTTATATATTTTAAATAACAAGAAATATATGTTAACTTTTAATACATACGTGAAGACCTATTGCGTGTTTCCGTGGCAAAAAGTGTGTTTTAGAATAATTTTATTTATAAACTAAATATTAAAATTCATGTTCTGAATCGACAAAAAAAGGAACATAGTGAAATTAGAATAGACACACGAGTCCTAGCACCACTTGCAGTTAAGTGAATCTTTATTTCAAATCTAAACAACGTGTCTTCTTCAGACGTACATTTAAAAGCAGATGAGCTTAGTAAAAGTAACCCAAATATTTTCTTTTTTAATGAGATCTGTTTGAACCCATTAAATCTGAGTGTGATAGTCGCTAAGCCTGACAGTAGTTTATTATCCTACTTACAATGATTTTGCGCCTATGTGTTTATATTGTCTGTTTGAACCATTAAGTCTGAGTGTGATAGTCGCTAAGCCTAACAGTAGTTTATTATCCTACTTACAATGATTTTGCGCCTATGTGTTTATATTGTCTGTTTGAAACATTAAGTCTGAGTGTGATAGTCGCTAAGCCTGACAGTAGTTTATTATCTTACTTACACTGACTTACACTAACTGCAGTTCTATATTAAACAGCTATGCAAACAAAACTAACTGCAGTTCTATATTAAACAGCTATGCAAACAAAACTAACTGCAATTCTATATTAAACAGCTATGGAAACAAAACTAACTGCAGTTCTATATTAAACAGTTATGCAAATAAAACTAACTGCAGTTCTATATTAAACAGCTATAATATACTGAATTTAGTTTTGTTTGCATAGCTGTTTAATATAGAACTGCAGTTAGTTTTGTTTGCATTGCTGTTTAATATAGAACTGCAGTTAGTTTTATATGCATAGCTATTTAATATAGAACTGCAGTTAGTTTTGTTTGCATAGCTGTTTAATATAGAACTGCAGTTAGTTTTGTTTCCATATCTGTTTAATATAGAACTGCAGTTAGTTTTGTTTGCATAGCTATTTAATATAGAACTCCAGTTAATATTGTTCCATTTAACAGATGCGTAAATGGTGTTTCAAGTAAGAGAGACTAGATTAGTACATGCGTAACTGACGTTTTAGGTTCGCGCGAAAATGGTTTATCTAATAAGAAGTGCTTAACAGTTTTGAGCGAAATAATACGTTATATTGACAGAAAACCAACGACAAACATGTATCATTAATGCTCCAAGCTAGAAAAATCACTCTTCTGTAGACGTATATTTCGATAAAACATAGAACGACGTATGGAAGTTTAAAATGTTAAACATATGGCCAAAACAAATATACTTATTTTTTTTAGAAAAAATTAAATGATATGAGGAACGCCCGGCATGGCCAGGTGGTTAGGGCGCTCGACTGGTAATCTGAGGGTCGCGGGTTCGAATCCCCGTCACACCAAACATGCTCGCCCCTTTTAGCCGTGGGGGGCGTTATAATGGGACGGTCAATCCCACTATTCGTTGGTAAAAGAGTAGCCTAAGAGTTGGCGGTGGGTGGTGATGACTAGCTGCCTTCCCTCTAGTCTTACACTGCTAAATTAGGGGATGGTTGGCGTCAGGAAGGGCATTCGGCCGTAAAAACCCTGCTAACACCAAAAATAGCGACCCCGTATAAATACGAGAAAAAGCTACAGAAGAAGAAATGATATGAGGAACCCATGAGATTTTTAAATAGTAAAGGAAAGAAAAAAATAGCTTAAAATTAGTAAATGAAAATTAATTAATTAATATTTATCAGCTATAAGTTGATTTTTGTTTTGAGCGCAAATATGCACAATGGGCTACCTGCGCTATGTTCACCGCGGAGATCTAGAACTGAATTTTAGAGTAAGTTATCAGGCTTACCTCTGAGCCACCTGAGGCTTTCAAAGTCGAAATATAGTTCGTGTGTGGATCTGTCAGTAAGTTTTTCAGTTAGAATTATAAATATTTTTCCTATTTCTTGCTTAAATGTATACATACGCGTATAACCTCTTCAGAAATTTTATAACGTAATACAGAATATTCCAGTATTTCATATAGATGTATGTGTGAATCTTGAAAGGTGAAAGTTGATAAGCTCACGACAACGACATACACCAAGCATGCCCGTTGCTTGAGTTGAGTATGTATGTGATTATCAAATGAAACATTGTTCGACTTCACCAATTTCACACTCATGTGATGACTTTTGAGACTTGTCTATAGTGACCTAATGTTATGTTCATATGAGACAAGTATGGTTTTATATGTCTTTAGCGAACCTATAGAAACGCTTTACTGTGCTTGTGGACCTAGAAAGTCTGAAAATAGTTCGTGTAACGGTCCTTGTCGTAAAATTAGTATAAAAATGTGGGTCTTGTAAGTTAGCGAACTTATAATAAAGCTTAACTTTGCTTTTAAACATAGGAGACCTGAACACAGTTCTCATAGCGGTCCTTGTCGCAGAATTAGTATATATATGTGTGTGTGTGTGTCTTGGTCCTAGGTTCACAAATAAAGTTAGCCCTTATTATAAGTTTACTAACTTTACCTGAACACAGTTTATGTAGCGGTCCTTGTCGCAGAATTAGTATAAAAATGTGTGTCTTTAAAACTGCGAACGAATAATTAGGTTAACTGTGCTTGTGAACCTAAAAAATCTGAACACAGTTCATGTAACAGTTCTTATCGTAGAATTAGTATTAAAATGTGTGTCTTGAAAGATAAAACATTATAATAAGGCTTAACAGTGCTTGTAGACCTAGAGTGTCTGAACACAATTCAAGTAGCGGTCCTTGTCATAGAAATAGTATAAACATATATGTACCTTGAAAGTTAGTGAACTTATAATAAGGGTTAACTCTTCATGAAGCAATCCTCGTTACAAGCATTACTGAACACATGTAACATCGTTACCACTACTGAATCCGTGTAACATCATCAGAACTACTGAATACGTGTAACATCATCAGAACTACTGAATACGTGTAGCATCATCAGAACCACTGAATATTTGTAATATTACCAGCACTACTGAACACGTGTAACATCATCAGAACTACTGAACACGTGTAACATCATCAGGGCTACTGAATACGTGTAATATTACCAGCACTACTGAACACGTGTAATATCATCAGAACCACTGAACACGTGTAACATCATCAGGGCTACTGAATACGTGTAATATTACCAGCACTACTGAACACGTGTAACATCATCAGAACCACTGAACACGTGTAACATCATCAGGGCTACTGAATACGTGTAATATTACCAGCACTACTGAACACGTGTAACATCATCGGAGCTACTGAATACGTGTAATATTACCAGCACTACTGAAC